CGCTCAAGCTCACACGGAGAGCGTGGCAGACGATAACAGAAATGCTGGGAAGACAGAGGTCTCTCTGTCACAGTCCAATAAACTATTCAGCACTGCTGGAATGCGAGGAGAAATTGCTGAAGGAAACACTCACAGTTTAACTGCATCAACAACAAAGAAGTTGAAAGAGATCTGGGGGAGGATTTGCCCTGTATCGGCACCGGGTAACACCGTTCTCGGCCCCGTTTCATTAAAATTGTACCACGTTTCTGCCTACTGCATGTTATACAAGACCTTAAGGTAATGTGTACTTATCAAAACTGCAGACTTGTGGGTGTAGTCTTTGACCTGACCTGATCAGTTAGTTTTTCCGTTTGATCAAGTCTTTCCCAGTTAGATTATCATAAAGATGATTTTTCAACAATCGGCAAAAAAATTAAAAATAAAAAAGCGCAAGTTATGCAAATGATAAAGTAGTGGGCTGCTATGAGAGCAAATAATTTTTCTGATCCAGTTCATCAGGTTTCAGTGTGGGGTCACAGCTGGGCAAAGTTCACCTCAGTCTCATAAAGCACTGTCTCCATCGGCTGTCCCTGCAGAGTTCTTCCCCTCCCACATCCAGCTTTTCATCACCTCATCCAAGTCTGGCTTTCCCTTTTGTGTCTGTGGCTCTACAATGTAAAGCTGTAACATACATTAGCAGGACAGCTTTTTCTTTCTGTTTGTCTGAGTCTTTTTTTGTAAAAGGTGGGATTTCAGGGGCTGGATGCATCCCAACTCCAGTCACTGAGTCAGATGTCCCACCCTTCAGCTGTTAACACTGAGGAACCCTGGCATGTTAGGAGGAGTCTAACAGACAGGGAGTCTGCTCTTTGCAGGTTTTAATAAACTTAAGGTCTATTCCCAGCTGTAGAATCAAAGACTTGACTGCTCCGGACTGCTCTGAAATGTGACTTTTTGACTCAACTCCCTGAAGTCTTGAGCTCACAGAAGATTTGAAGTAAAAAATCTCAAGACCCAAGTCAGGCTAGAGACTAATTTCTTCAATTTTGGCAATGTACTTTAAGCACCATGCAGCAGCTGTGAAAGAAAAATGTTCCACAAAATACTCGAACAGCTTGGATTATGACTCAGTTTAATACTTATAACCCAACTTGGACATTTGAGTTTAGATTTGAGACCTGCATTAGTGCAATTGAGACTTAACTGCCTGTTGGAGATCTGAATATACATGTCTTTTTTAAAAAAAAAAAAACACATTTTGCATAGTTCAATGATGTCATGCAAAAACCAAATTGCATGTCAGGCATTAGCACGTGCTTTCTGTTAATTAAAAGCACACTAAACCATAAAGCTGGTTATACAGATGTTTACATAAACACAAGTGAGAATGGACACACACACCAGGGCTTGACAAACTGAGTCTGGGGAGTGCTGACAGCGATGTCAGACTGAAATCAATTTCCAAATTGCCAGCTCATCTCATCTCATTAAAATGACTAAATGAAAGTCCTCCTGCATGTTTAACTTTCAATAATTAACCCTGTAGATGAATATATCATCGTATTTGATAGCAATTTTGTTCTTTTTCTTTCTTCCCTTTACCCACCTCAAGCTGTGGTGTGTTCTTCCAGTGCTGTCGCCTGCATTGTCTGAGAGCAGTGATTTTTTTTTTAAACCTTCACACCCCCGGTCATATGGCTGACTTAACTTGACAGATTGTCATCACAATACTGTAATGGGACTCACCCCCCACCCCCAATACCCCAACACACATACATGCACACACACTGCAGGGGAGATGATTGACAGAACTCAAAATGGTGATAGAGACTAATGCGAGCTCTGGACAACAGTATGAACAGCAGGTAGTCTGATAAATCACAGCAGCCAAGACTTTTTATCTTAAAGTGTGTCTGTGCGTGTGGGAGTGTGTTCTTCCTTCCATTGATTTGCATGAAACTGCAGCTCTTAATAGATGTGTTGCGGTGTGACAGTAAAGTGTTGGAGTATGACGGGGATAGTTTTAAAAACAGCAGCAAAGCAATTATTCACCAAGTTAAAGAGATGAATTTATAATTAGAATCATGCCAGTTTAGACTTTTTTTCTTCCTGGTGGAACTTCTACATCCGAATATTTCTGCAAATCACAGCACCAGGCTGCAGTAGAAGTGTGTAAAATTAGTAATCAAGTCTTTTCAGTTCAAATTATTTTCTTTTGGATGGAAATCCCAGCTCACATGGAGCAGTGAATGCGGCGAATTGTAACAAAAGTTAAATACACTTTTTTTGGGTGGGGGGCTAAATGGTTTTGTGTCTCTCTAAAGTAAGATGGATTCACAGCACTTTATTGCTAGAGATGGCACGATACCACTTTTTTATGTTCGATACTAATACTGATATCATAAATTTGGATATTTGCAGATACCGATATGAATATGAATATGTATTTTTTTAATGAATAAAACTGTTTTTTTAATACATCTTGCTGCATTTTGTATAAGTTCACACTCGAGTTTTAAAACACAAAACACCAAAGCTATTCTGTTATACCTGTAGGCAAAAAATACACTGCACCCAAAATATTACATAGTTCAGCAATACTGATCTATCTAATTTACTCAAACCTACACCATCCTCCCTATTCGAGTATTTTAAAGAGTACTTAGCAGAAATATTAAGCAACCTAAATAATAGGGCTGCCAACTCCCAGCAAAAAAAAAAAAAGGCAACCACCCCCCACCCTGTGATGCTTGATCAACGCAATCAACTTAAATTCAATGCATGTGTAAAAAAATCAATTATTTTTCTACAATAATTAAATAGATTCAACATCTTTCTTCAACAGAATTGCAGACTGCACAGCCTTCCCAAAGGAAAAAGCACTATAGCTTACTAGGGCATATTAGACTTAATAGTTACTATATACAGTAATGGACTTCTATATATTTTATATAAGATTAAAACTTTGGGTGTAAGATTCAGATAATTATTTATGAAAATCTAGACATTTTAAATGAGAATAAGAAAGAAAAGTATGTCTTTGTGCCCCCTTTTCCCTGTTAATGCCTGTTATAGCCCCCTGGCTAAACTTTGCTAGATCCACCCCTGCACAGTTACCAGCTGTCAGCTACGTAGAAAAGGATCCTGGTGTAGAAAGTAATATTGAATAAATTTTAATTGTTGTTTCTGTTGTTTAGCTGCTGGTTTCCTCTTTCTGGTGCAAAGTGGGCCAAAAACAAACAAGAGAGACGGC